TGTGAATGAGGTTGGACTGGGTTGTCCAATTAAACCCAATAGTGTTGAAATCAAAGCAACAAATAAAAAAATAAAGAAATTGAAAACAGAAAAAGGTCTCAGGGGATCTCGAACCCAGGCTTTTGTGTTTACCAAACAATACCTTCACCAACGCGCCAAGCTGTTTCATCTGTAAATAATATGAATCCAATAATATATAAAAGAAAAAGTTAGTTTTTTGAAATAAAAAATATATGGTGGGCTTAGGCCGAACCGGGCGACCCAAGACCCACCTCTTAAAATGTAAATAAACCAAGGAAAGGGTTTGTGAACCCTAAACAAGAAGAGGCAAGCGGCGCCTCTTCATCTCTTTCGTTGGCGTAATCGTGCTCTCTACTTCGTCTTCCTCTCTACTTCATCTTCCTCATTGTGTTTCGTTTTCTCTTTTTCGTTCTGGGTATCTAACTGATGTTTGCTTGATTTTTACAATGAATCATAAATTTGCAAGAATCGGAAGAGAGAAGGAGAGGGAGGTTTTGTGTGATTCGAATTTTACCAACTTGGTCTTGGGTGAGATCCTTCTTTTTTTTTCTTGCTCTTTTTATCGAATTTTTGAAGGGGTTGTTGTTGTTTAGGAAAATGATGATAAAAACGGTTAGGGTTTGGCCGTTTGCATGTGATTCTGTTTGTATATCTTTGATGATGATGAGTTTGGAAAATGGTTTTTGAGGGTTTTGGCAGTTGGGGTATCGGTTCTGTTTTTTGAACTGTGTATATTTGTGTGAAAAGAAAGTGGAAGAAAACGTTAGGGTTTCGGCCTCTCTGTATATTTATATGTTGGAAAAAAATCTCCTTCTTACTGTGAACCCCCCACCCCCCCCCCCCCCCCCCCTTGTTTCTATATTATTGATGGCTTTATACTGTGATTGGCTTTTTACTTTTGGATCTTTGTATAGACCTTGTACTTGATTACTTGTTATTGGCCGGTTGCTTTGTTGCTTTTAGACTTTGTACAGGTTTTGGTACTTTCTGTACTTTCTCTTTTTCATGATGGATGTTGGCTTGTTGATTGTACTAGTTATTTATGCAGTATATCTTCTTTTACTATAAACCAGACAACACATTGTTTCATTGTGATTTTGCAGTAAAGTTCTCTAGGCCTGTAATTTGATTTGGTATATTCTAAATTTTGTTGGTTTACTTTTTGGCTTTTGCTTGCTGCTTTGATTTTATGTAATCCAAAACATTGTCTTTTGAGATTTTGCAATACCATTGTCTTTGGCCTATGATTTTGAAAATACATCTCTGAGTTTTCATTGAAACAACCTGATTATGAGGCTTTTTGTTTGCTTGCTGCATTGGTATTTTCCCGTGATGCTAGTTCTGACTTTTCTTGATTTCCTCTTTATCTTTTGTGAACCAAATATTTAGATTTGCAAAAGACTCCTTTTTAGCCAATGATACAATTCTCACTTTGTGAAACAACATGTATGAGGCTTGATTTTTGGGCTTGAAATTCTGTTGAGCTGAATTGAGTTGGATTTGAAATTCTGTTTGCACCTTTTTGTCTATTGTGAACCAATTCCTTTGAGATTTGCAATAGAAACTTGGCCCATGATAAAACTGAAAATTTTAGGCCTCAGCACATAGTCAAACTCTTTCTTTTTCTGATTTCAAAAACCACCCTAATGATGAATTTTAAATCAATTGTAATTTTGTCTATTTTGAATTTATTTGATCACTAAATCTTTCTTGATTTTGTTTCATGTATGACAAGCGAGGCAACGTGAAGAGAAAATAATGGCTAGCAAGGATTGGATGGATTTCTTGAAGATGAAGCAATGAAGACTTGAAGAAACAAAACAAAACTTCTTTCTTTGTAAACAAAACAAAATTTGTAATTTATTTCATTTGTAGTGTAATGAACACAAAACCTTGAGAAAGATTGTAAATGATGAAATTCATTGTACGAATCTTGAACTTTGTTTGAATTTTAAAATTCTCAATTTGAATGGTTTGAAAAATACACATTGACTTGGTAACTTGAACTTCAAGCAATCATAAATGATCAAATAAACCATGCGCCTTGTACTGTAATCAAATTCCTAAACAAAATAAATGTTTAAGAATCCAATTCCACTTGGTTAACTCGAACCCAAAACTATAGTCGTTTAAATGAAAGTCTTAATCTTCACATCTTATCCAAATCAAATTTGCATTCAAAATGAACTCGCACGCCATGCTTGATTAAAATAGAACTATATTGCCAAAACAAACATGCCTTAAGAACATTCGTCAATCTTGTAGAATTAACAAACTTCAACCTGATAAACATAGTCCTGAGAAAAACAAATTGTGGTTAAGAACATTCAAAATCAAACAAATGACTTGCGACGATTCGATAACTTTCAAAGTCCTCCAAACACAATTTCCTTTCGACCTTTGAGGATAAACTCGTGAGCGACATCACCTATGATCATATGCAGCAATAATCTTCCCAAGATCTTGTAATTTGAGGGGATCACAATTCTTAGAAATCAGGCGACAGTTACTTAAGATTAGGTCAAAATCCATGATGCTACTTCTAACATATTCGAATTTTGGTGATCTTTCACATGTAATCAGCTCTTGATTTATGAAGATAAATTGGAAATGAAATCAAGGAGAATCATATGCAAAAATAACCGCTCAAAAATATCGAATAATGAAGAAGTTACAATCGTTTGAACTCGCTCTCGCAAAAGGTCGATTTTGGGTCAATGTAGTCGTTTTCAGTTATCTGAGCCATTGATTGAGCAAACTTGCAATGCAAAGTTTGAAAACCGGCATAAACATCATTGAGGAGACAGGAAGACCTATGAAGACCATTTGAAACCTTGAAAACTCAATTTTCTATGAGAAATACCAAACCCTAATTGTTGATTTTCCGCCTAGGAAGAGAATCTGTCTGATCAACTTTTGAGCCAAATTGGATATTCGAGAAACCCTAGGATAGTATCTTGCATGAAAAATGGGAGAGAAAATTTTGGGGTACAACACCTGATTTCTTTAACAAATTCATAACATTCAATTACCATATCTTTAGTTTTTTTCTCCTAAATCCTTAGTGAGAAAACCTTTGGTCAATCATCCTAAAACCTAAGTGCTTAGAAAATTATGATGAAACCAAGTCTTTACTTTATCAAGATCTAACCGGTAACTATATGATATCCCAAGTCCTAGGTGATATTTACTATAGTTTAATCATACAAAAACCTTAACAATTGTGGTCCAGCTAATTGTTAACCGTAGAACAATCCTTATTCGTTTGATTAAGAAAGTATTACAAACCTTGTGCAATTGAATTGAATAATAAAAATCATGGTATTAATAAAATTAGAAATTCAAAGTCATTACACAATCAAATCAGTGATAGCCCTTAGCATTGGGGGGCTTAACTACTCATATTGTTCAAAAGAATTTCAAATACATTAAAGATAGACATTACAGATAATTGAGGAAGTTTGATCTTCAATTACGTCGGCTCATGAAAGATCTTTGTTCTTCAATAATCTCATATGTTGCTCTCTTCAATCTTTAGAATTCTTCGTATCCAAAAAAGTCTCGTTCTAGGTTGTAGAAACAGTCTCAAATAGTGAAAATCCCTTGGTTGTCTGAAATGTCAAAAATGCCCTTCCGGGCACACTTGGTGGAAAAATCACAAAAATATGGAAAATCAACGTCTCAGCCAACACGGTCCATGTCAGTTGACACGGGTGGCCATGTTGGCCCTCCTAAAGCTTTAAATCAAAATTGCATCTTTAATCTGTTGACACGGCCTGTATCAGGTGACACAGATGATCGTGTCAGCCTCTTGAGTTTCCTTCTTCTTCCCAGCTTCCCACCTGACACGACTCGTGTCAGGTGACACGGGTGGCCGTGTCGGGCCTCTTGATAGTTTATTTTTTCTTTCGTGTGAAACTTTCGATTTCTTGACTTCCCCGCACTGAGTATTTTGGATCTTTCACCTGAACCTGAAAATGTCACAACAATCCACCAAAGCGTAACACGCAAAATACTCGAAATAAAACTAAAAAACAAAATTACTGAAGAAACGTAATAAACATAAAGTCGAGTTAAACTGTAACAAAATGTGATATAAAGTGATGCATAATACCTGGATTATCATCGAATAAGTGACATAAACATAGGGAAAATGGTGATCAATCAGCCTGCTCCAGGGAATAATCTCAAGAATGTTGTTAAATGGTTTTACTTTGCCAAGCCTTCTCAATTCAGGGAGAAGGTCTATACAACTTCTTTAGTTGCAATAGTGTATCAGATATGGCATACTAGAAGGTTATGTGGAATCAAAGAATAGATATCATCCAGATTATTGTAGATAGAATACAAAAAGAGATAAGAAATACGATATATTGTATATGGCCAAAAAATGTGAACCAAGTTGATACCTAATGGTTCAACTCATTATAGTTTGTTGACAATTGATTATATATATATATATATATATATATATATATATATATATATATATATATATATATATATATATATATATATATATATATATATATATATATATATATATATATATATATATATATATATATATATATATAGTTTTTTTATATTGTTTACAAAATTTTTGATATTATTATTACTTCGATAAAAATATATTTTTAAAAATTTTTTTGTTATTATTATTATTAAAGAACTCACTTTTGGAAACAGAATATGTCCTTAATTATTTGAGACCGTCTTAATTCATATTGAAGTTTCAATATGATATCTCCTTAAAAATAACTTCATCAAAATTTAGCTAAATCTTTATATCATTCATGCATACCATCATTTAGAATAAACGAAAACAAGCAATAATAATTTGTAATAGCTAAACATGCAGCATCCATCTTTAGCTACATATATTATTTTGTTCATACACACCACATGATAGTTTGTTAAAATTAACCAACACGAGCAACAATGTGTTCATAATGTGACATGAAGAGCCAGCAATTTGCTTACTGAGGGATCTTATTAAGCTTACAATAAGCATAATCCTTATATTTCTTGGTCTTATACTTGGATGGATTGTCTTGGTTAACAAACTTTGGGTGAGGACCAACTTCATGCTGTTCTTGGGGCTCAATGAACACTGGCCAAGACATTCTTGTCTCCTCTTTGTTCACTGTTGTTCTATGCAACACAGCCTTATATTTCCCATTGCTTAGTATCTATATCACCATAAAATATAACTAACATCGTTAGTTTAGCATTCAAACATTTATAATAATAGTAGAATATAGATATGCACATACCTCCATTTGGTCGCCAATGTGAATGATGAGAGCATTAGGGATATACTTAACATCATACCATTGACCATCTCTAGAGGCTTGAAGTCCCTCCACCTCGTTGGGAACAAGAATGGTAATGTAACACATATCTGTGTGTGGTGGCACGCCTAAGACAAGATCAGGACATGGACAAGGTGGGTAGTAGTTTATTTTCAATAGGTGAATCATCTCATCTTCACCTGTAGCTGACTTTAGTTCATGTTCTTCAAACCCAAGTCCAATTAACATGTTTTTCAACAGTTTTTCTGTCACTAAACGTATGTACTTGCCATATTCCTCATTCACCTCCCTATTAGTGAAAACAAATCAAATAAGTTCTTTAAAAAGAGAGGTGGATCAGTCGATATATTTAAAGAGAGGTGGATTAATATTTACACATTATCGTTATAATTTGATTAATAATATTATTTAATATTTCATAGAGATTTATACGGAGGATGTTAACTATTTGTAATGTATTTTATTAATATTAAAGTTGCATCGTCTCATCATTATCCTATACTCCTTGACTTCCATTTGAGTGATATTAAGTTGAGATCGGATCCTCTCCAATTTATTGTCTGATGTTGTTTACATAGATTAAATCCAATGGCTAGAAATTGAGCAGGAGGAATGGCAGAAGGAAAAATGCTGCAGAGGATCTGAATCCTATTAAGTTTGCTTCTGAATTTAGAATGTGGCCCCTTCATGCAAAATGTCATAATGTCATATTATCTTTCCCAGTTGGTTAATGACAACAAGATCAAGTTGATGAAAGAGACTAAAAATTCATCAGATTTTTTTTGTAATTTTTTATTTGAGTTGTTTTGTAAAGGTGATTCGAGTTCCATTCAATCCATTGACAAGATTCTCAAGATATATGCAGATTTCTTAGTTCAATCTTGCAATCTTGCAAATTCTATCATGCAAAAGCCATGTCTTCCCGATGATAGAGTAACTTGCATGGTAAGGAACACATTCTCATATGATGAATGATCAACTTGCTTACATGATTACAATGATGATCTTCCTTATATAGAGAGATCAATAGAAGTTAGGTTACTAACTGTTGTACCTCAAATTTACCCTCTCAATTCTCAAGGCTTTTCTTATAAGGATTTTCAAGGTTCAAGCTTGAACAAGTGCATTGGGATTTTTCAATACCAAAATTAAAAAGAAACTGTCAAAAAGGGAGAAAACAAATAAAAATAACATTTTGACATATTTGGAGTTAAACAGATCTCCTTCGATTCAGCACCCTTCAATTGACTCTTGACCTCCTTCGATTGCTCAAAATGGCTGCTAGCGTGCCTCTTTCGCCTGGGCATGTGACTTCTTGTTGTAGGCTTCATTTGTGACTTTTGATGCCTGCATGCTTGCTTTGAAAATCAATTTTTGCTACCACAAGTGTCCCATGCAGGGCAAGCCTTTCGATTGGACAAGTATGTTGTCTACATGCTTGCAATCGAAGGTCATGACCTACTGGCCACATGTACCCCCTGCAAGGCAAAGTCTTCGTTTGGACACAAGTGCCTGCATGCAAGTCTTCGTTTGGGCACTCACCTTATGTGTGCCTGCGTGCAAACTTCAGTTGAGAAAGAGCCTCCTTCGAATGCAACTTGGATTACATCCTTCGTTTTGAACAAGAGCCTCCTTCAAATGCAACTTGGGTATGTCCTTCATTTTGAACTTAAAGCCTCCTTCAAATGCAACTTGGGTATGTCCTTCATTTTGAACTTAAAGCCTCCTTCGAATGCAAGTTTAGGTACATCCTTCATTTGGATTTGAAATCTCCTTCGAATCCACTTGCACCAAGGGCCTCTTGCAGACTTTGGCTCTCACAAGTTTCGTTTGAGCCAAGAGATATCTTCATACAAGATTTGACTAAGTTCTTGCTTCCCTTGAAGGAACACCCTTCGATTCAGAAGCCAGGAACTTCCCTCACGCTAAAAGCCAATGACTCCCTTTATGTTTGTTTCGATCCACATGCTTCGATTGGGCAACATGCTTCCTTCGAACACGAGATTTCGATTGGCCAATATGTTTGTTTTGATCCAAGCTTCGAATGGGCATTAGCTTCCTTCGAGTAAGCTTGTTTCGACCACAAACTTCGACTGAGGCAAAGGCTTCCTTCGAACAAGCGCGCTTCGATCTCATTCTTGCATTCGACTCAAGACCAAATCTCATTTCCCAGGCTATGTTGCTTCTGAATCTTCACATAATCAGAGGCTTGTACAATGGTTTTAAACTTTGTCTTTTGGATAATATTATCCTTGGTTAAAGGCTACATACCCTTTCTTTTCATAGAAAGTACTTTTATCACAAAAGAAGTTTTCCACCTAAATTTCGTCTGAACGAAAATCAGGGCCAGAGGCACAAGTCTAATCAACTGCCAACAGGCCCCCACTTGTACCTTTCACATTACCTATTATTTTATTGTTTTGCAAGGCTGGCTACTTCAAACATGTTCATTCTTTTATCTATAAATAGAGGAACATTTACAAAGCTAAGGGAGGATCTTTGGACCAGAGAAACGAATCCCCCAAATTTTCTCAAACACAAAAAAACTCTCAAGTTCATCAACACTTGAGAAATCACAAAAAAATCCAGAATCACATTCATCTCCTTCGATTATGAAGAACAACCACACTTCAGTCTCCTTCGAATCAAAGAAGCATCACACTTGCTTTTTCTCTTCCTTCAAATCCAGCGTTCCAAGCACAGTTGTTGACCCCCTCTTTCGAATCTAGCATCCTGGGCCTCCAGTTAAGGTCCCACATCCATTCAAGGCCTGAAGCAAGGTAAGTTATTCTTACCTTTGAACTTTTTGTTTCATAGCATAGTAATTTCCCCTTTCGTTTGAAACATGTACATACCATTGTTTCTTTCGTTTCCACCCTTTTAACATATTTTTCAGAGCTAACCCTTTCGTTTTGCTTTCTGTTTACCTGAATTTGCTTTAACTATTAAACGGTTTACAAGACAAATACTAGCATGGCCTCAGGCCATGTTGCCATTTAATACCTTAAGCGAAAGAAACAGGAAACAGGAAATAGGAAACGAAGCTTCTGGCTTCTACCCTCTTTCTCCAGGTCAAACGAAAGAGACAACCAGGAGACAAACCATGTTGACTTCCAGGCCCAGACGAAAAGCATGTCTTCACTGTTTCAAGGCTCAGTCGAAAGACATTCCCTCACTGCTTTCAACCTCCAGTCGAAGAAGGCAATAAGGCAACAAGGCAGAACCAGAAGGCTTCGCCATACACTAACTTCCAGGCCAATCGAAGGACATTACCTCACTGGTGCCAGCCCCCAATTGAAGGTCATGACCTCACTGGTGCTAGCCCCAATCGAAGGAGGCCAACAGAATGCACATCGAAGGGTGCTCCTGCCTGAATCGAAGGAGCTCTTTTTTACTTCTTTTTATCTTATTTTTTCCTTTACATTTCTATGCACTTCAATATGATTGTAATAGTGTAGGATTTATTTTTTGCACTTTTTATTACTTTTGTACAAATGCTAGTAATTAGGTGTGTATGGCAAGATAAAAACAACAAGTAGACAACCCCTAATTAAAGACAAAATGCATGAAAATCAAACACACCATTCACACATGCACCCTTAGGGTAATTCCACTTGTTGCCTCAGAAATTAGTCATGTCCCTCGAACATGGGCGTTTTAGCAAAGACCCTCGATAAAAGATCATAGTCCCTCGATGACCCTCGATGTTGCCTTCGGTAAACGATCTAGTCCCTAAACGATATTGCTAAAACGTTCCATAGGTTGCCTTCTATGACTATACAAACTTCCCACGGTCGTCCCTTCACATCCAACGATAGAGCTTCTTACCAAATCAATGGTAAGATAGCAACATCTAAAGGAGGAGGAAAAAAACACTTAAGACCTTTCGAGTAGGTAGATTTTCTCCTAGTTGCTCGCTTGCTCACAACAAAAACATTTTATACACCCACACTCTCATTTTAAAACATTTTCAAAAGACAACACTTTGTACGCGTTCTTATAGAAACGAGAGCCATTACAAAGACACATTTTCAAAATTACTTTCAAAAACACATTCCACAAACACCTCTTTAAACTATTTTCAAAACAACACTTTGTATGCGTTCTTATAGAAACGAGAGTCATTACAAAGTCACATTTTCAAAATATTTTTAAAACCCACACCACAAGCATACATTCAAACAAAAGCAAGTGATCTAGCAAGAAACTAAGAGCCCGTAGATAACTACGGATGGAAAGGATGCTAATACCTTCCTTTTTCATAATCTACCCCCGAACTCAAATAATCTCAAAGGGTCTTTCCTATTCTTTTCAACCTTTCCTTATTGGATAAAAGAAAAGTCGGTGGCGACTCTTGCTAACCGCAACAATTGCAATAAAATACAAAACACTCCAAGTCAGTTCTCCCACCGCGTTACACTAACAAACTTAACAAGAATAACCATCTTTGTAGCAACCTAACCAGCTTATACAAATGTAGAAATTTAAGAAACTTGTATAGTAAGTAAGTGTAATAGCCTTGATGTTGGACCATGGAGATTACATAGGCCCAATTTGGATATGTTTGTAAAGAAATGTCCTTGCTGTAAAGGCTTTGTGAAAGCATCGACAAGCTGATTTAAGTTGTTGATTGGGAGAGGAAGATTGAGTTTGTTCTAGATTTTTCTCTCGAATGACATTGAAATCTATTTCTAAATGTTTGATTCTTTCATGAAAAGTTGGATTATGTGCCAATTAGATAGTTGATTTTATATCACAATATATGGAAGAAGGTTGAGCCAAGATAATATCGAAATCAGAGATGAGATTGTGAAGTCATTGAAGTTAACATGTGAGGGATGTAAGGGCTCGATATTATGCCTTTATGGAGGATCTTGAAATAGTATCTTTCTTTTTGGATTTCCAAGATATGAGCGAAGTTACAAGGAAAACACAATATCCGGTAATTGTTTTCCTTGAATCAGAACATCATGCCCAATCAGAGTCAGAAAAGCCATGAAGTTTGACTGGAGTGTTGTTTGAATAGAAGATGCCCTTGCCTGGTGAGGATTTGAGGTACCAGAGAATGTTGGTTATTGCATTGAAATAAGGTGTCAAGGGTTTGAAGATGAACTGGCATAGGTGTTGCATAGAGAGAAAGATATATAGTCTTGTATGAGTGAGGTAAAGAAGTCTGACAATGAGTCTTCTATAGGAAGTAGAATCATCTAGGGGAGTACTTTCATGTTGGGAGAGTTTGGTGGTAGAATTGATAGGAATGAAATATGACATAGCTCCTAAGTAACTTGT